AATAGATGATGGGTATGAAGGAGTGCACTTGTTGTGATGAGCAATAGGTGTTATATGGAAGTGTTGAATCACTATATTGTACACCTGAACTAGTATTACACTGTATATTAACTAATTGGAATTTAAATAAAAACTTAAAAAAAAGAAAATTAAAAGTTGACTTATACCAGAGAAGACATTTCAAATACATATTTCCAACAATGTTCTTATTTTGAAAATATACAAAAAATGCAATAATGTAATATTCATAGTGTATGGTAGGGTTTCTCAATATTGACATTATTGACATTTTAGGTTTGAGGATTCTTTTTTGTGGGAGACTGCCTTGAGCACTGTATGATATTTAGGTGCATTCCTAGACTCTATCCATTACATGCCAGTAGTAGTTCCCACATGGGACACCCCAAAATATCCCCAGATATTACCTAATCCCCCTTGGTTGAGAACCACTGATACATCCCATTTGAGTAATAATAAATACAAGCATAAATATATAAATATTAAATATAAAAATTTAAATGTAAAATTTTTAATATAAAGTATTAATTAAAATTGCAAGAAGAGTTAAGATAACCAAGAGAAAAAAATAACCAAGAAAACCATATTCAAAAATACTTAGATGATGGAATTTTAAAGATTCTAAAAACAGGTTTTTTTAAATGATCAGGAAATTATAGGAAAACATAAACATGTGAGAAAAAATAAAAGATATTAAAAAAAGAGTCAAATGGAATTTTTAGGGCTGTAAAATACAATATAGAAACTGAGAAATTCCATTTCAAAGACAAAAGAATATCAACAACAAAAAATCCCTAGATAGAAAATAGAAACCATTTAAGCTAAAGCTAAAGCAAAAGCCAAAAAAAATTGTGGAACATATTAACAGAACCTCAGTGACTTATAAAAAATATCAAATGATCTAACACATCTGGTACTGGATTTAGGGATGACAGAAAAAATATTTGAAGAAATAATGTTTTAAAAAATTCTAATGAAAAGTACAAATTCACAGACCAAAATTAGGTTTGAATGCATCAGGAAAAAGAAAGAAAATCACTTCAAGACATACAATAAATGCTGAAAATAAGCAGTTTATAAAATCTTAAAATCTGTTAGAGGAAAAAGGATACATTATAAACAGAAGAACAAGAAATTAACAATTCTAGAATTTTTTTCAGAAACTATGCACACTATAAAATATGAAAAGAAAAAAACCCTCTCAAAGTAGAATTCTATACCAAAATTATCTTCTTGAACTTTAAGGTGAAATAAAGACATTTTGAGCAAATAAAAGATTAAATATTTCATGGCCATCAGAAATGTCAAATGAAGCTGTAATGACAATTTATTACATTATGTACATTTATAATATGTTCAAAGTTACTTCAAACAGGAGTGGAGAGGCATGAAGGTCTGGCTGGTTGTATTGGGTAAATGTATTTTTTTTTTTATCTGCCAGTAATTTATTTATTTTATTTATTTATTTATTTATTTTATTCTTATGTTAATCCCCATACATTACATCATTAGTTTTAGATGAAGTGTTCCATGATTCATTGTTTGTGCATAACACCCTGTGCTCCATGCAGAATGTGCCCTCCTCAATACCCACCACCAGGCTAACCCATCCTCCCACCCCCCTCCCCTCTAGAACCCTCAGTTTGTTTTTCAGAGTCCATCGTCTCTCATGGTTCGTCTACCCCTCCGATTTCCCCGCTTCATTCTTCCCCTCCTGCTACCTTCTTCTTCTTCTTCTTTTTTTTCTTAACATATATTGCATTATTTGTTTCAGAGGTACAGATCTGAGATTCAACAGTCTTGCACAATAAGTTAAGTACTTTTACATATTTAAGATTTCTAGAAGTTGAGCAGAGTCCAATAATAGCATCAATATTTTTGAAGCTCTTAGTTCATGATTAGATTATATAAAATTGAGCAAATTGTGTGAGGCTAACCATTGAAACAAAGGGAAAAATATTGTCCATTCTACCCAAATAATCAAAGGATCACTCGAAAATGTCAACAAAATGGGCTGATTAATGAGACATAAGTCTTAAGTTTTTCTTGTTAAATATCTGTTTTCACTCACTTCATCAACATCTCTATTGATGGCCTTTATAACATGTGTTATGGAGAATATGAGTAATTTGTCTATTTTCAAGGAGCTTAAAAATGATCTGGGGAAAGAAGAATCACAACACTAGAAATGAGAGAACTCAGATTAGAACAGATTTGTCTAGCTCTTGTTCTAGTGTTACTTCAATTTCAGAATATTAATACCTAATGGACATGGTATACCTAGAGAATAAGTAAATTGGTAGAGCACATGAAATGGACCATAAGTATAGTGGAAATTGTTACGGGTTTTGTACTAGGGAAAGTTTTATTATTTAGAAAAGAAGCCTCCAAGTGTCCCTAAGAATATGGTTATATAGACAGAGGAATTCATCTACCTAAAAAGAAGAAAACATGTAGAGATAAGAAAAAATGGATGGGGAATGCGGAAAACCATGAATTTGCTTTTACCAAAACAGAAGTTGTATTTTTGCACTATTAGAAAACAGTATTGGATATTTAGAGTGGTTGAGAGGCTGATTGTGAAGGCCTTGGCGAACTTGGGGATTGATAATGGAGTTATTTAATTGTAGGTTTTTAAAGAAGACAATAATAGGATGAAAACAGAATTTTATGAGTAATGTTCAATTCCTTAAAGAAAACTGTATTTGTGGGTAATTACATTGTGCATCATCAACAATATTGAATTCTATATAGTTGTAAAATGCTGTAGATTTTCATGTGCTCATAGGAATATATTTTTATCGTATTGACAACCCAAGGAAAATAACTATGCATATGAACACCATTCTCTCAATAAATAGTATTGAACACTATTGTCTTAATAAATAGCATATAAATGTAAATATATACTAATACCCCCACCACACGCACACACACACACACACACACACACTGTGCTAATGTGTATATTACTTTTCTCAAAGGCTATCCAGGAAACAAACTGTCAAGAGTTATCATCCTGCTATGTGTGGCATGTTTTCTTTTCCATTAGTATAAGCTACTTTGATCTTTTTCTAAAGCAAATTAGGGAAAAATACATACTTCTAACAATTTTTTTAGAATAGTTACTCTTTCTGTTTAAAAATGCTCACATTCAATTTGACAGTTAAAAATATGTTTAAAGTTCCTAATTTACAAGGATTTTGCTTTAACACTGTTTTTAATCTAGATCCTGAATATTCATTATATATTTCATTTATTCATTCACTCCTTCAATAGATATTTGAGTAGTCATACAGTATTCCAAGATGCTAGAATGTGTATAACTACTGCATGTATATTTGAAGTCTGTCCTGTTCTCTTGAAATGCAGTTTCAAAAATGAGATTTCAAGAAGCATTAGTATGAATATTTAAAGAATTATCCATAAAACTGAAAGGAGATATAACCTTTCTAGACACAGAAAGGAATAACTTTACATACTAAATAAGACTTAGCACTTTGCATCAATTCAAGGTTCTCAGAGTAGGAAATCAACTTGAGGATATGTGTATATGGGGAAAAAATACATCCTCTGTTGGATAAATGTACCCATGGGGTGTCTCAGAGAAACAGAGTGTACAGCATCATGATGCTTCTTCCTTCTGTTTCTGATGACTGGGAACGTAAGTTGCAGGAAATTGATGGGATTACAGGATAAGAAGATGCAAGGCTATTCCCGGGATTCACGTGAGGCACATTCCCCTGAAAGTATTTTCTTCATTCTGAAGAAATAATGACACAAAAGGAAGGCTATACTTTATTTACTGAAGGAGCTTTATAAGACTCTAGATAATTGAGAAACCATTAATGATGAAAATAATTTTTTAGAGCAAAACCAGTAAAATCAGTGCTGTTATAAGCATGGGCTGATGGGAAAGTTATACCATAAATTTAGATGACTGTACTGAAAGAACTGTATTTCTATTATCCATATAAATCAGTTACCTCAAGCCACCTCATTTTGTCATTTTGAAGCTTGTGATAAATAAAAATGCACAGTCCAAACAACAATCCTTTTTATAGCCATCAACAAGTAAATGAATGAATACCAACTAAAAATGGAATAAATTCAGTTCCATTTCTCTGTGGACCTGTGCATCCTTGGTACTTTCTGCCTAAAATCCTAGAAGAGACATTTGATGTGAATGATGTTAAATGTTGAGTGAATAATTTTTACATGGTTAATATATATAATAATATATGTCATATATATAATTACATGGTTTCACTCTTACAAGTGTGCAATGACCATCACTGATACTAGCATGAGCTCTGAGGGTTTCATGCAAGAATGGAGCAGGTAAGAGGCAATACATTTCTCAGGACCCAAAAACTTACAAGTAAGACTTAATTTAAGGTTTAATTAATAGTTCTTTACCAGAATCTCTTTCAAAATATGGGTCTTTAGAATCCTTGCTGTATTTTCTACATTTATCATTTCCAGGTTAAGAAACAATATTATTCTGTGAATGTAGAACCCACCACCATCATTATCATATTTATGAACATCTTTATAGCACAAAGAGGCATTCAGTATCATGTAGTCTGATTGTTTTCATTTTATTTTACTGAGGAGGAAACTTAACCCTGGTAAGGAGATACTTGTCCTATGTTGCCCCCAATGAGTAGATCAGCTAGGTGTTGTATTGAGGTCTTTGGATTCCAAGTTCACAATACAATGATGATTTCATGTGCTGTTTTTATTTTTGTCTTTCAGAAATGTATATTCTGAATTCTCCTTGCTATTTGGTACACTTCTCTGGGACATTTCAGAAATCAATGACTAACAAAATCACCCCCAAAAGTGGGAGGTGCTTTAAGTTCAGGTACCCAGTCTAAGTATCAAAATTCGATACCAACATGAACCATCCTTTCTGTAACCACAACTTTTCTGCCCAGGATTCTCACTCAATTTGATTATGATGGGATAAAGTTGACAATATGGAAAGGGCAAACCATTCGGTGGTGTCTGAGTTCATTTTGCTGGGACTTTCCAAATCTCAGACTCTTCAGATTCTATTCTTCCTAGGATTCTCTGTGGTCTATGCTGGGATTGTGTTAGGAAACCTCCTCATCTTGGTCACCGTGATCTTTGACTCACGCCTTCACACACCAATGTATTTTCTGCTTATCAATCTCTCCTGTATTGATATGATCCTAGCTTCTTTTGCTATCCCTAAGATGATTGTGGATTTCCTCCGAAAACAGAAGACCATCTCTTGGTGGGGATGTTATTCTCAGATGTTCTTCATGCACCTCCTAGGTGGGAGTGAGATGATGTTGCTTGTAGCCATGGCAATAGATAGGTATGTTGCCATATGCAAACCCCTCCATTACATGACCATCATGAGTCCACGAGTGCTCATTTGGCTGCTGTTATCCTCCTATACAATTGGATTTGTGCACTCATCTAGTCAGATGGCTTTCATGTTGAATTTGCCCTTCTGTGGTCCCAATGTGGTGGACAGCTTTTTCTGTGACCTTCCCCTTGTGATCAAACTTGCCTGCAAGGACACCTACCTGCTACAACTGTTGGTCGTTGCTGACAGTGGCCTCCTGTCCCTGGTCTGCTTCCTCCTCTTGCTTGTCTTCTACACGGTCATCATATACTCAGTCAGGCACCATGCTGCCAGTGGTTTGGCCAAGGCCTTCTCCACTCTGTCAGCACACATCACAGTTGTGACTCTCTTCTTTGCCCCATGTGTCTTTATCTATGTATGGCCCTTCAGCAGATATTCTGTCGATAAAATTCTGTGTTTTACACAATTTTCACTCCTCTCTTAAATCCTATTATTTATACATTAAGGAATCAAGAAGTAAAAGCAGCCATGAAGAAGATAAGGACTCGACATATAACTTCAAAACATACTTTGTAGATGATGCTTTTGAAGAAATAATCTCTTGTGTGGACATTTTAAGGAATGAACTTTTAAGCTATTTCAAGTTCTGTAAAAGGAACCAGTAGGTATAACTTTTAAAGAGCAAACCCCTTGTATTAAAGAGGGCACATTCTGCTTGGAGCACTGGGTGTTATACTCAAACAAAGAATCATGGAACTCTACATGAAAAACTAATGATGTAATGTATGGTGATAAACATAACATAATAATAATAAAAAAGAGCAAACCCCTTTTCTTGTCACTGCCAGTGGTTAAACACATGACATGTACAGTCTGGAAGACATACATTTAAATCCTCTCTTCACTACTTCTTCTCATGCAAATTTGAAAAATGAATAAATTCTCTTTACTTAATCTACAAAGCTTCTTTATATGTTTCTTTTATTATTTTGACATGTTTTTAATCTTCACAATTATTATTACTACTTCTATTATGCTTGTAGCTATTACTGCTGCTATTATAGTTGTAGTTAATATTGGGAATCTCTATGTAGAAAATGCACACAGATGATGCCTCACATAGCCATGTAGCTGAGTGCCTGAAAGAACTGTATTTACTATTGGTGCTAGAAAAACACATTTTGTAGATGATCCCTAGTTAATGTGTATTAACTTTTAGTTACTCTTTTGCCCCAGATACAGTGCCTCCAACCATGCTTCACATATTTTGTGAGCCCATAATGTGCCAGGAGGTATATCCAGGGTTTCAGGAAGCTTACAGTCCTTAGATGAAAAGAGTGAACTAAATTTGTAAACATGTTGTGGCATGGACAGTATTATATCACATGGTTGAAAGTCCAACACAACTTTATCAGTAATAACACTAATATTTGTCTCTTCCTTTTTTTCTGAATCCATGGGTAAATTGATTCAGAGCCTACAGGGGTGTAAGAGGTGATCAATACTCCTGAAAAGTCTACAATCAATTCTTAGTAGCAGTATCAAGCTTTTATTTTCATTTTCAAAATACAGTTTACAAATAGAAAATAATCACTCTCTTTATTATTTTACTTTTTTGAGGGAGAGAGAGTGCATGCAGGTGTGAATGGGGAGGGGCAGAGAGAGAAACTTTAACAGGCTCCATGTCCAGTGCAAGCCTGACGCAGGCTCTATCTCACGACCCTGAGATCATGACCTGAGCTGAAATCAAGAGTCAGACATTTAGCTGACTGAGCCACACTGATGCCCCAAGAATCACTCTTTAGTGTAGAATTCTGTGAGTATTGAAAAATGCAGAGTCATGTAACTATCACAATGAGAATACAGGAGAATTTCATCAACCCTCAAATTCCCCTGTGCTCCTTTGTGGTCCACCTCTCTCACTCCTGTCTTCTGGCCCTGAAAAAAGCGATCTGTTATTTATACCTAGTTTGCCTTTCCTAGACTGTCACATAAGTAGAATCGTATAGTAAGTAACCTTTTTAAAAAGTTTTTCTTTAAATTCCAGTTAGTTAACATACAGTGTAATATTAGTTTCAGGTGTAAAACAGTGATTCAGCACTTCCATATAACACCCAGTACTCACCACAACAAGTGCCCTCCATAAACCCTATCACTATTTAACCCACCCCCTCACCTACCCCCTGGTAACCATCAGTTTGTTCTCTATAGATAAGAATCTGTTTCTTGGTTTGCTTCTCTTTCTCTTTTTTTTTTCCCCTTTGCCCATTTGTTTTGTTTCTTAAATTCCACATATGAGTGAATCATGGTATTTGTCTTTCTCTGACTGACTTATTTTGCTTGGCATAATACTCCCTATCTCCATCCATGTCATTGCCAATGGTGACATTTGATTCTTTTTTATGGCTGAATAATATTCCATTATATATAGAGAGAGAGATATATATCTCCTTCGTCCTATCCATTCATCAGTCAGTGAACACTTAGACTGTTTACATAATTTGGCTATTGTAGATAATGGTGGTATAAATAGTGTATTAAGTAATTTTGTATTCTTTGGGTAAATACCTAGTAGTGCAATTGCTGGATCATAGGGTAGTTCTATTTTTGATTATTTGAGGAACCTCCATACTGTTTTCCAGAGTAGCTGCACCAGTTTGCATTCCCACCAACAGTGCAAGAGGATTCCCCTTTCTCTACATCCTCACCTGCACCTAGTATTTCTTCTGTTGTTAATTTTAGCCATTCCAACAGGTGTGAGGTGGTATCCATGTAGTTTTGATTTGCATTCCCCTGATGATGAGTGATACTGAGCATCTTTTCATGTGTCTGTTGCCACCTGGATGTCTTCTTTGGAAAAATGTCTATTCTGCCTTTTTTTTTTTAAGATTGTATTTTTCTTTATTTGACAGAGAGAGACACAGCGAGAGAGGGAACACAAACAGGGGGAGTGGGAGAGGGAGAGGGAGAAGGAGGCTTCCCACAGAGCAGGAAGCCCGACTCGGGGGCTCGACCCCAGGACCCTGGGGTCGTGACCTGAGCTGAAGGCAGACGCTTAACCACTGAGCCACCCAGGCGCCCCTATTCTGCCCTTTTTGTAATTGGATTATTTGGGGATTTTTGTTGCTGAATTGTATAAGTTCTTTATATATTTTGGATACTAACTCTTTAACAGTTATGTCATTTGCAAATATCCTCTCCCATTCCACAAGTTGCCCTTTAGCTTGTTTATTGTTTTCTTTGCTGTGTAGAGTAAGTAGCCTTTTGAGCATGGCTTCTTTCACTCAATATAATGCCTTTGAGATTCATTCAATAGCAAGTTGTGTTTATCATTATAAATCTATGTTACATTTTAATATCTATTAAGTATCCTCATTGCTATTCTTCCTCAAATTGTCTTGAAACCAGTTCAGTTATTCATTGATATTAACTAGAATGTTTTTTATCAAATAACATGAATATTAAGTAATTATATATGCATTAATTTTATACATTGATATGGGAGAAATGTGATATTGACAATATTGGTCTTTTTAATCCTAGAACCTAGAATTCTGCACTTATTCAGGCCTTCTTTTGTATCCCCCAGTGATGTTTTATAGCTTTCTTCATTAAATACTGAAACTATTAAACTTATGAATTATTTAATTTTATTTTAATTTTTATGAGGTCATTTTTACTCATAACATTTTGATATTTCTGTAATGAAGGAAAGAGATATATTTATATATATATTTACTTGAAATTAGTCACTGATCTGAACACTCTAATTCATTGAAATTTTTAGTCAATTTTTCAGGCTTAGAATATAATATTTCAACTATGATAATCTTATGTTCTCCTATTATTTTTCAACACCTTATTTCATATTTTAGCTCATAACATGTCTAGGACTTAATACAGTTTTGAAATTTCTCCTGAACGCTAAAGAATAAAATAGATATATGTCATAAAAGGTCTGGCACATTTGTACACTAATAAGGAGAATTACTGATTTTAACATGTTTCTACAATATGGTGAGTATTTTACACATGTTTATAAAAATGACACATATTTGGAGGTTAACAACTACCAATCACACTTGGCTTATTTGACATGGAAAAATTTGCTAATTTCATTGGCGCGATTATGAACATTTCCAATGGGTTGAGGTAAATCTTTTATAACTGTAGAAGAAATCTAAGAAAGTGAAATCTAAAGCTGGGTGTTAAAACGAAGCAAAAACTGGAAGAAGTTTACAAGCAGCTTGCTTGCCACCTAGTGGCTGCAATCTCCTGTGTTTCTCTTTCATGTTTTAACAAAAACCAAGAATTAGGAAGGAGGATTTATAAGAATGGTCTGGAGTCTTTGCAGTCCCCCAATAGGCAATCGAAATGCAGCCTATACCTTCCAAAGAGGCAGTCAAGCTGATTACCATCTCAGCATTACCCAAAATAGCCATTTTCACTGACAAATTTTAATGTTATTTTAAGGGCTTCCCATCCACTAGTACCCATCAGCTAAGTCTAGAATTCCAGGGGACATCACAACTCATTAAGTCACCATTAGGAGTTAGAGTATTCTGAAAAAGGCAAAGCAGACTAGTACCTAGAAATTATCTGTATGTCAAAATCATGGTTCATGATTTTTAAATCTATTGCCTGCCATAAATTTACAAGACTTAGTTGTCTTTAACTTCCCTAAAAGTATGGATGATGCTTCCAAATTTCAAAAGGAACTAAAAATATATATACTTCTCATCATTTGAATTTGCAAGGCTGAACCCTTTGCTCAGAATTGTTCTGCCAGACGATTTTACTTTGAGCATAATCGGTCAGATAGTTGGTGTGTATAAAGGAAAGTAGGACTTGTTTGAGGCTACTAAAGAGAGAGTGGCCAAAAGCAGTTCTTCTGTCTGTATCTAAAAGACAGTATTTGAAAAATTAATTAAGTAAATAATTAGACTGTCTAGGGAAGTCTTTGAGTTTCTCAGTCTTATAAGTGAGGTGCTCTTTTCATCCCCATTTTCTGTATGAGGAAACGGAGGCAGAAGGCTTTCATAACGTACCTAACTTTCCACAGCTAGAAGGGAAAGGACCAGATTCCAACTAGTCTGTTTTTAGAAGCTGTGACATCTTTATAATTCTATGCTACCTCTAACAGTATTAACCAAATTCTGGAAACACATTTGTAAATTACCTCCTTTCCAAATCCAGAAGTTGTTTAAAATATAACAGAGGGCTGGGAAGCTGACTCCATGGACAAATAATGCAAAGGCTTATTTATTGCTCTCATATACTTGAGTCAAAGAAAAGTGATGTAGAAACTTTCAAATCTAAGAGTCACTCAAAGGAATTGGGTTTTAAAAATGACTGCATGTAATAAAGAGGATGAAATTTATAAATAGTGTTATTGAAAAAAGGTAAACACAAAATAGTAAATGGTTTATATTTCTGCCCACAGAAAGTCTAAATGGAGGTATAGTCTTTACCAAACTCAAACTT